AGCGTATTTTATTTATTTATTTTACATTTATTTATTGTGTATGTGGCCAGCTCAGCCCACCAGGGGGCAGGGCTGGCTGGCATGTGGTGCTGGGGGATTAGAACCGCGGTCCCTGCTTTGCCAAGCTTGTTCCAAGTAGGTGCTTTAGACCACTGAGCCATCTCTCCAGTCCCAAGAAATAATCTTATTGTATGTCAGCTATCCAGAATCTCCATTGTTTCGACCCCTTTGCTGATGCAAATAACAGTGATGACCTGCTTGTTGCTGACATTGAGGATTATATCCCTATAAGAATGTAAGAGAAGTGGCAGATAGACCTTCACCATGGTCCAAGGGATCACTGATGATTACAATAAAAAGAAACTGGTGAAAGCATTTAAGAAGAAATTTGCCTGCAATGGTACTGTCACTGAGCATCCATGATATGGAGATATAATCCAGCCCCAGGATGAACAGCTCAAGAACACATGCCAGTTCCTGGTAGAGATCGGACTGGCTAAAGATGATCAGCTGAAGGTTCATGAGTTTTAAGTGCTTATAGTTCATTGAAACTTACATGAGGATTTCCTTATAATGAGTAGAACTCCCCTTCAATCCCTTGTCACAAGTTTAAAAACCTCACATATATGTGTGTGTATATATAGAACTCTGGAATAGAACTTGTCTGTAAGTTAGGGACTTCCTATAATGAAAGATTTGATAAACAGTGACCAGCCAGTGGCTGGGGAGATAGCTCGACAGTCTAAGCACCTGCCTGGCAAGCACAAGGACCCGGGTTCAATCCCTGGTGCTGCATGCCGTGCTGGCCCTGGAACAGCCACTGAAACCATGTGTGGTGCTGCATACCTGTAATCCCAGTGCTGGCGCAGCTGAAACAGGAGAATCACTAGGAGTCCAAGCTGCATAGCAAGACCCTGTACCAAATAAATAAATAAATAAATAAATAAATAAATAAATAGTTTAATTAAAAAAACACATAATGACCAACCACAACTCATTGGAGTTGAGCTTTATGAGCTTGCTAGATTTGATGATTTTGTGTCTTGCTACCCTGAAATTTAGAGACAAAAGCAAACTAAAGTTGTCAGGGATATTCACCACAGAGAAGGGCTGGCAGTATAGCTCAGCAGATTAGGGTTTGCTTAGGTAAGCACAGGGGCTAGGGTTCAATCCTTGACTCCACATGCTGTGCCGGCCCCACCCTCAGGCAGGCTGAGCCAGCAATGGAATCCAGGCGTGGTAGCACGCACCTGTAATCCCAGCACTTGGAAGAAAGAAATCAGGAGGATCAGTACAAGTCTGGGCTATGTAGTGACACTGCACACAAAAAAAGGGTATTCACTACAGAGAATAGCATAGTGTCATTGTTTTGAAATGAATAAAGTCATACCACTATGGCTGGCCATCTCACCTCCAAGACTTGGCATGATCTAGTACTTTTGGCTTAGAGCAAATGCCATTTTTCCCATTTCTATGGTAAGTTTGAAATCTGCCTCAAGCCCAGTTTGAAGTTCCTTTTTGTTTTCTAATATTTATTTGGTACAGGGTCTCACTACACAGCTCCTACTCATAGTGATCCTCTTGTCTCAGCTTCCCCAGTGCTGGAATTACAGGTGTGCTCCACCATGCCTAGTTTCAGTGGCTGGCATGGCTCCAGGCCCAGCATGGCGTGTGGTACCAGGGATCAAACCTGGGTCCTTGTACTTGCCAGGAAGGCACTTAGGCCACTGACCTATCTTCCCATCCTCAAGTTCCCTTAAAACGGCTCTCTTTTTTTTATGGTACCAGGGATCAAACTTATGACCTTGCACTTTCCAGGCAGGCACTTACGCCACTGAGCTATCTCCCCAGCCCCTTGCACTATCTCCCCAGCACCTGCAAGTTCCCTTGATAGATAGTCAGTGCTTTCTTCATGCACTCAAGAGTTCAGAATACTTTTGTAATAACATTTGTCACATAATGTAATTGGTAATATGAGTACTTGATTCCAGGAACTGTCATAATACTGTCTTGTATCCCAAGACTTGACACAGTGCTAATCTACATAATAAATACTAAATAATTATTTGATAGATGAAATACACAGTGTCCCTATTCGCACCTGTAATCCAGCTACTCAACAGGTTAAGGGCAGCAGGTTCACAAGTTTGAGCCCAGGGTAGGCAAGTCAGCAAATCCTTATGCTCAAGATAAAGAGAATAGAAAAGGCTGGAGGTACAGTCTAGTGGTAGAGCACTTGCCTAGCATGCGTGAGACCCCGGGGTTCAGTTGCCCTACCACCCACAAAAAGGAATAGGTGTGAATCACTCAAACACCCTGAAAATTTGTAGGTGTCATTCTTCGGTTTCTTAACTGGCTCTATCAGGCTCACACAATGACTGAATATAGAGCATAGTTTCTTAGATGCTTGTCAAAACTTTGGGGCATGTATGTAAAACAGTTGTCCCTAGTTATGAGAAGTCCTGTTTGTGTTAAATTTAGCTATTCTATCCTTTGAACAGCATCTCCTAGATGACTGGACAAGTAAAGGAGCACTAGTGGAAGAGATCAACCACAAAGGCACAACTTTAGAAAATCTCATCACAGAGATCACAGCACCTGATTCCCCAGCCAAGACAGGTGAGTGGACACTTCAAATGTAGTGGGTAAATGTCACTCTTCACTTTCAGCCTTTGGAGATGCCTTTTTATTTAGGTAAAGCCAAAATAAAGGTTGGCTATAAAAATGGGGTCCACAAAGCAGTCTCACCTCACAGCCTGACTTGTCCTTTTTTTGCTACATAACATTGCTCCAGCTGGCCCGGTTAGAACTGTCAAATAAACATAGAAGAGTTTAAAAGGGAATTTCAGGGCTGGTGAGATGGCTCAGTGGGCTAAAGCAGCTACCTAGAACAAGCTTAGCAAAGCACAGGGACCGCGGTTCAATCCCCCAGCACCACTTGCCAGCCAGCCCCACCCCCTGATGGGCTGAGCTGGCCATGCACGCACGCGCGTACACACACACACACACACACACACACACACACACACATAAATAAAAAATAAATTAAAAAAAAGAATTATTAAAAAAAAAAAAAAGGAATTTCATCTTGCAAAACTTTCATGTGTGGGAGCTGCAAAGATAGCTCAGCAGTCTAAGCGGTACTGCATGCTGTGCCAGTCCCACCCCAGGCATACCAGGCTGTCTACCAAGACTGAGCGTGGTGGTACACACCTGTAATCCCAGTGCTGGGAAGGCTGAGACAGGAGGATCAGTACAAGTCTGAGCTGTGTAGTGAGACCCTGTACCAAATACATAAAATTAAAGAAAAAAAATTTCATGTGTAAACAGCATACATATGTCATCTTTAAATGACAAAGGAATATGAGCATGATATCTAAGGGAAAGCCAGATGTTGAGTGTCAACATTGTTACAACAGAGATTGGTACAGTTCTCCAAATCAGACACGAGGATTGTGCCCAGATAAGAGAATAATCTCTGACTGTAATCTAAGCCATGTAGGCAAAATTCAATGTGACTTCACAGATACTTGTTAGCTATTAATAGAGAAACTATAGGTTTTGTTAGCAGACTATGATAGTATACTTTTATAGTCACTTAAATACTTTTTTCTTTTACTTTAAAGAGAAAAAAGATAAATATAACAGTGAAACAACTTTCAAAACAGGTTACTATGACAGTTACAATAGTTGATATATTGCATATTGTTCTCTTCCTACTTAAATACTTAAGGAAAAGTTGACTTTTTTCCTGGTGAAAAATAGCTACTGTTCTTTAAAACTCTGAAAGTTAAAGTTTTCTTGAAAGTATCCAAAAGTGACATTTTAGAAAATCAAGGATTTGCATACTCTCATACATAAGCCTCTAAATTCAGTGAATTATTAGTTTCAATAGATCAGAAATCTATAAACTTCCTGTAGAGTACAGATAACTACATTAGGTTTGCAGACCACATGTTTTCTGTCATGATTATGTACCCCTGCCACTGTGGTACACAAACACTCATAGATAGTACATCAATGGATAGGTATGGCTGTGTCCAGAACACATTTGTATGAAAAATAGATGAATGGCCCAGTTTGTTTGATTTAGTTTTGTTTGTTTTCAGCTTTTTGAGACAGGTGCTTGAGTCCAGGCTGGTCTTCAGCTTACTGTGCAGCTCAGGCTGGCCTCAAACGCAAAGCAATCCTGCATCAGCGTCCCAAGTGCTGGGATTATAGGTGTGTGCCACCACGCCCAGCTAAAAGACCAGGCTTGGCTGGTGAGCTGTGATTTGATGATTCCTGGACTAGATCATTCATTTTTCATACCTTTTAAAGTACTGAGGGCTGGAGAGATGGCTCAGTGGTCTGGAGCACCTACTTAGAACAAGCTTGGCAAGGCATCAGGGACCGCGGTTCAATCCCCCAGCACCACATGC